ATCCCCGTGGACCTGGGCGCCCCTATTGTGCAGTGTGCAGCGGCTGACCCCTACGTGGTCATCATGAGCGCCGAGGGCCATGTCACCATGTTCCTACTCAAGAGCGACTCCTACGGTGGCCGCCACCACCGCCTGGCGCTGCACAAGCCCCCTCTGCACCATGTAGGCCTCCAACTCCCGTCTGCCCACAGCCCCTGAGCCCTCCCCCACCTGCCTGCCCACAGCCCCGGGCCCCCACCCCGCCCCCACCTCCCTGCCGCCTACATCTGGAGCCCCGCCCTGCAGCAGTCCAAAGTCATTGCGCTCTGCCTGTACCGGGATGTCAGTGGCATGCTCACCACCGAGAGCCGCCTGGGTGGAGCCCGCGATGAGCTGGGAGGCCGCAGTGGCTTGGAGGTCGACGGCTTGGGCTCGGAGACGAGGTGCGTGGTGGCCGGGGTGCTGGGGGTCTGGGTGTCGGTGGCACGCTGTGAGATGTCTGTTGGTCTCCAGCCCCACGGTGGATGACGAGGAGGAGATGCTGTACGGGGACTCCAGCTCCCTTTTTAGCCCCTGCAAGGAAGAGGCGCGGAGGAGCAGCCAGCCCCCGGCCGACCGTGACCCCACGCCCTTTCGAGCAGAGCCCACACACTGGTGTCTGCTGGTGCGAGAGAACGGCACCATGGAGGTGGGTGTGCTTGACACCACGGCCCCTGCTGCCCAGCCATGGCTTCTTCACCACACCGCTAACCATTGTCCCTCCACAGATCTACCAGCTCCCTGACTGGAGGCTGGTGTTTCTGGTGAAAAACTTCCCTGTAGGGCAGCGGGTCCTAGTGGACAGCTCCTTCGGACAGCCTCCCACCCAGGGCGAGGCCCGTAAGGAGGAGGCCACTCGGCAGGGGGAGCTGCCCCTGGTCAAGGAGGTGCTGCTGGTGGCGCTAGGGAGCCGCCAGAGCCGGCCCTACCTGCTGGTGAGTGTGTCTGTCCCCCTGCGGCTGCCTGCCTGCGGGCTGCACCACAGCACGCCCTCACCTTCCCTGCGCGGGCCTCCTCCCCCCAGGTCCATGTGGACCAGGAGCTGCTCATCTACGAGGCCTTCCCCCATGATTCTCAGCTCGGCCAGGGCAACCTCAAAGTCCGCTTCAAGAAGGTGCCAGTGGCTGGAGCCTGCTGGGGGGTGGGGTGGGGAAGGCAAGCGGGGTCTGGAGGGCCAGATGTTCACTGCAGCCTCTGCCAGGTTCCCCACAACATTAACTTCCGTGAGAAGAAGCCAAAGCCGTCCAAGAAGAAGGCGGAAGGTGGTGGCGCGGAGGAGGGGCCTGGAGTCCGGGGCCGCGTGGCCCGTTTCCGCTATTTTGAGGACATTTATGGCTATTCAGGGGTAGGCAGGTGTCTTCCCAGGGACCCAGGGTAGAGGGTGGCCTGTCCCCTAACTGAGTGCTCATGGCGCCTGCCTCCAGGTGTTCATCTGTGGCCCCTCACCCCACTGGCTCCTGGTGACCGGCCGGGGTGCCCTGCGACTGCACCCCATGGGCATTGATGGCCCTATTGACTCCTTTGCCCCATTCCACAACGTCAACTGCCCCCATGGCTTCCTGTACTTCAACAGACAGGTAGGAAGGCCTGCTTCTTTCCAGGTGCTGAGGTGCTGGAAGGGAGACCGTGGTACCCGGGCACATGTGGGCTGGGTAGGGAGTGCACGCAGGGTGCAAGAATTGAGTGTGTGGCCGGGCGCCAGTGACTCACGCCTGTAATCTCAGGAGGCTGAGATCTGAGGATTGCGGTTCAAAGCTAGCCTGGGCAGGAAACTCTGTGAAACTCTTTATCTCTAATAAACCACCAGAAAACTGGAAGTGGCGTTGTGGCTCAAGTGGTAGAGCGCTCGCCTTGAGCTGAAGAGCTGAGGGACGGCGCTCAGGCCCAGAGTTCAGGCTCACGAGAATTGAGTGTGTAGAGGCTCGTGCGGCCAGGGATGGAATGGGGCTCTCATGTTGAAGAGGACTAGCTAATGAGGTTACCTGCTGCTGCTGTTGGGGTTCACCTCTGAAGCCTTTGTCCTAGCCTCGCCTCAGCCCTTTTCCCAGAGCCAGGCTAAGCTGGTGTCGTTGCTGTGTGGCAGGATAGACACAGTCCTTCCTGGAGCCTGTTTCCCCTGTGCCGTCCAAATGGCGGCAGTGACCAATTGGGTCACTGGGGTTGCTGTGACCCGGTCAGTGTCTAGATGGCAGCCCGGTGCCCTCTTGTAGGGTCTCCGGCACAGCCAGACTCTGGGGGTCCCCTGATCTAAGATGAGCCTGAAAATGGACCACGGCTCACTGGCCAATGGCAGGGAATCTGGCCACCAAAGGTGTGGGCCCTGCAGAACCACTACCAGATGTGGCAGCCCCAGCAGTGGCCGGTGGTCTGGGTCCACCCACCCTGCCAGTGGCCATCCCAGGCCACGCTGATTGCCACCCTTGCACCCCACCCCAGGGTGAGCTGAGGATCAGTGTTCTGCCTGCCTACTTGTCCTATGACGCCCCGTGGCCCGTCCGGAAGATCCCGCTGCGCTGCACGGCCCACTACGTGGCTTACCACGTGGAGTCCAAGGTGTGTACCCCATTCCCACGTCCCAGGTGTCTGAGGCCTGGCAGCAGCTTGCAGCACCTCCCCCTCCCCAGGTGTACGCAGTGGCAACCAGCACCAATACTGCTTGCACGCGCATCCCTCGCATGACCGGTGAGGAAAAGGAGTTTGAGGCCATTGAGAGAGGTGAGCCCGCAGCCCACAGCCCTGGGGGAGGGAGGAGCAGGCTCCACTGCACTTGGGCGCGGCCGTGACCTGCCTGCTGGTCCCTGCAGATGACAGGTACATCCACCCCCAGCAGGAGGCCTTCTCCATCCAGCTCATCTCCCCGGTCAGCTGGGAGGCCATCCCCAACGCCAGGTGAGGCGGGGCCTGCGGTGGCGGTCCCCGTGGGGTGGCGAGGGAGGTTTGCTCATGCAGCCTTCCCTGCGCAGGATCGAGCTGGAAGAGTGGGAGCACGTCACCTGCATGAAGACCGTGTCCCTGCGCAGCGAGGAGACCGTGTCTGGCCTCAAGGGCTATGTGGCAGCTGGGACGTGCCTCATGCAGGGCGAAGAGGTCACGTGTCGTGGGCGGGTAAGGCCCTGTGGGGAGGGGAGGGGCTGGCCTGCCCATCTGCTGTCCCCACTCACCCCTCCCCCACCCTGACAGATCTTGATCATGGATGTGATTGAGGTGGTGCCTGAGCCTGGCCAGCCCCTGACCAAGAACAAGTTCAAGGTGCTATATGAGAAGGAACAGAAGGGTCCAGTGACGGCTCTGTGCCACTGCAACGGCCACTTGGTGTCGGCCATCGGGCAGAAGGTGTGCTGTCTGCCCGCCCCGGGCCTCTGCTCTGTCTGCAGTGTTCTCTACTGATGCTGTACCCCTCCCCCACTCCACCCCAGATCTTCCTGTGGAGCCTGCGGGCCAGCGAGCTGACAGGCATGGCCTTCATCGACACTCAGTTGTACATCCACCAGATGATCAGCGTTAAGAACTTCATCCTGGCAGCCGACGTCATGAAGAGCATCTCACTGCTGCGCTACCAGGAAGAAAGCAAGACGCTGAGCCTGGTGTCCCGAGTACTAGCGGGAGGCTGGCCGGTGGTGGGAGGGCAGCAGCCCAAGGCCTGTCCTGATAGCATCCCACCCCTCCCCAGGACGCCAAGCCCCTGGAGGTGTATAGTGTGGACTTCATGGTGGACAATGCCCAGCTGGGATTCCTTGGTGAGCAAGTGATGCCTCTCCAGGTGCTGGTGGCTCATACCTAGTATCCTAGCAACACCTGAACATCCAGGCCAGCCTAGGCACACAGTCCAAGAGACTCCAGGCTCCAATTAACCAGGAAAAAGCTAAATTGGTCAACTAGTGTTGAGCAGAGTCAGCCTTGAGCAAAAGAGCCAAGCCAGAACGTCAGGACCTGAGTTCAAGTCCCAGTATAGGCAATAGGCAGGGTAAAAAAAAAAAAAAAAAAGGGGGTGGTCCTTCGGGTGGAGGCAGGGGTAGCTGGGCTGACTCCAGCCCTTTGCTCCGCAGTTTCTGACCGAGACCGCAACCTCATGGTGTACATGTACCTGCCTGAAGGTGAGTGGCCCCCGCCCCACCCTTGTCAGGGCTCGTGCCAGGGGCTGGGCAGCAGTGACATGAGTCTTCTGGCCTAGCCAAGGAGAGTTTCGGGGGCATGCGCCTGCTGCGCCGGGCAGACTTCCATGTGGGTGCCCACGTGAACACGTTCTGGAGGACCCCGTGCCGAGGGGCTGCCGAGGGGTCCAGCAGGAAGTCGGTTGTGTGGGAGAACAAACACATCACTTGGTTTGGTGAGTGTGGCTGTGGGGGTGGGGGAGGTTGTGGGGTGGGTCTAGCTCACACATCATCTTCCCCAGCAACCCTGGACGGTGGCATTGGGCTTCTGCTGCCCATGCAGGAAAAGACCTACCGGCGGCTGCTGATGTTGCAGAATGCTCTGACCACCATGCTGCCCCACCACGCTGGCCTCAACCCCCGAGCCTTCCGGTGAGCACTGCCCCCTCCCCAGCCCCACCCGCCCTGGACATGCCATGACTCCCTCATTTGCCCTCCTGGCCAGGATGCTGCACGTGGACCGGCGCGTCCTGCAGAATGCTGTGCGCAACGTGCTTGACGGGGAGCTGCTCAACCGCTACCTGTACCTCAGCACCATGGAGCGCAGCGAGCTGGCCAAGAAGATCGGCACCACCCCTGATATTGTGAGCGCTTGCTGCCCGCTGCCCGCCCCGGCCTGTCCCTTTGCCTGCCCCCGTCCTCCTGCCCTCACCTCCCCTTGCTCCACAGATTCTGGACGACTTGCTGGAGACGGACCGGGTCACTGCCCACTTCTAGGCCCTCGGATGCCACCCTGGCCTGTGTGCACTGCCTCCCTCCCTGCCCCCCTTTTATACAAAACACACCAAGAACAATTTGTTTTCAGGCAAGTGTGTGGTCATTGCGTTGTCAGAGCCCCACAGCGTACTCCCGTGCCCCAGGCCCCTGGGGTGTAAGGTGTCCATACCACTGGCCTGGCTAGCTCCATCTGTTGACACTAGAAGTCTTGCTGGCCCTGAAGCCTAGGTCTCCAGATACTGGTAGAGCTCTTTGTTGTGAGGCACGATGCCCAAGTAGACCAAAAGCCGAACCATGAGGGTGGTCAGCCGCATAGCCAAGGTCTCCAGCCTGGGAGGCAGGTAGAGGGTCACAGGCTGACAGGGAGCAGGCGCCGGCATCGGGACCACCTGTGGCACCTACTTGAACTTACCTCAGGGCCACTTCAAACTTGAGTAGCTCCCAGAAGACCTTGACGTGGCGCAGGAGGCTGCTGCTGTAGATGCCCTGGTATGCTGCAACCACCAGGCGGCTCCAGCCCCGAATCGCACTGCATCAGACACACGCATCAGCCCCATGGCCTGGGGAGTCCCCAGGGAGCCCCTGAGGCCACCAACCTTCTGGCCATGAGGAAGTAGCGGTCGACGGGGCTGCCTAGCACAGTGACGATGGAGCGCACGGTGTTGATGTTTCGCAGCACGAGCAGCATGGGCCGGGGCAGCTCCTTGAGCACCGCCATGATGTTCTCAAAGTGGTCCCGGGCCATGTCCCGCATGTAGGTGGACTCCTCTCGGCTCAGCAGATGGGAGCCCCACAGCTGGCCCAGACGCACTGGCCGCTGCATGAGCACCTCGGAGAACAGAAGGTAGTCTGCAGAAGACGAGGGTGCCCGGTCAGGGTGTTGCGGCTGGCTGTGCCTGCCCCCTCGGCACAGCGTCTGCCCTCACCTTGGACCCCGAGTGCAGCCGAGTGCGTCTTCATTGCAGTGTCGTCCCTCAAGATGATGGCTCTCCACAGCTGGCACAGGGCTGACCGGTCCCTGCGAGAGTCCAGCTGTGAGCCCCGGGGGGGGGGGAGGGGGGACGGGACCCAGAACACAGCTCGCTAGTGCTTTGTCCTGCCTTACTTCTGATCCAGGAACTGGTAGAGTCCATGGTCCAACAACACCAGCTCTGCCTTGCCGTCCGGACCTTTCCGCACCAGAACTAGGAATAGCGCATGTCAGTCATGTCGGAGTTCATTCCCCCTCACCAAGACCCAACCCTGGAGACATCCCTACCATTGCCAGGGTGAGGGTCCGAGTGGATGAAACCAGTATAGAATATCTGCTCTGCAAAAGCCTGGATCAGCTTCTCTGCTACCTGGAGAGAGCATGGGATACGTAACGGACATGGGGGAGCCCCGCCCCTGTCCTTCCCGCCCCTGCCTGCACTCACATCCTGCACTGCCAGCCCCTTGCTTTTGATGGCCTCCAAATCATTGATCTTGCAACCTTCACAGAAGTCAGCCGTCAGCACACGCTGGGAGAGAGGAAGAGGCTGAGCCCGGAAGGCCCGTGCGGCCGCCTCCCACCAAAAAGGGGCCAGCCTGGCCCACCTTGCTGGATTTTTCCCAGTACACACGAGGGACTACCACATAGCGGAAGTGCTTCAGCTCCTGCGCACAGCGCTCAGCATTTCGGCCCTCATTCTCAAAGTCCAGCTCCTGGGCCAGGGTGCCCTTCAGGTCCTGGGAACATGTATGGTCAGGGGCCAGCTCTATGTCTGGTAACTCACCACTGGCTACCTGCAAGCTGAAGTTTCCCAGCACTACCTGCAAGACCCAGCCAAAGCCGAAGCTGGGGTGCATGAGCCCCACGAGCTGCAGCAGGAGCTCCAGTGTGTGTACATCCCCGTCAAAGCGGTCCCGCAGATCAGCATACTGTACCTGCAGCAGGCAAAGGCATCATAAGACTCAGTTGGCCACAGACGCCTGGAACCTCCCAGCCTAGGGCAGCCCGAGTACCTTCACAGCCACTGGAGTTCCATTGTGCAGCTTGGCGCGGTGCACCTGGGCCAGGCTAGCAGCAGCTATGGGCTGGTAGTCAAACTCCTGAAAGAGCTCACTGGGCAGGGCCTGGAAGTCTTCAAGAAACAGCTGATCCACCTGGCAGAAAGCGGTACTTAAAGTGGCACTGGGGCCCAGGGCAGCCTTCGGCCCTCCCGGTCTGCCGTGGAGCTTACCTCCCCAAGGTTCCTGGTGAGAGCCTTGTCCTCCAGGACCCGTAGGGTCTGGATGTACTCGGGCGGCAGCAGGTGGTTGAAGGAGCACAGCCCTTGGCCCAGCTTCACGTAGAGGCCCCCGTTGCTGATGGCTCCTTCCACCAGGGCATCTGCTGCCCGCTGGTGACACGCAGACATCACCTCCATGTACCCCGGGCTGTTCTGACCACAGGCAGGAGGGGAGGTTGGGACAGAGGCCGCTCCCCAGGCCCTACAGCACCCACTGCTCCAGCCTGCCCTGCACGCCCAGGACACGGGGACAAACCTCTTCCACCCCTCGCAGGGTGACGTTTGTGCACCACCAGTAGTCCAGGGAGATGTTCAGGCCAATCCTCAGGGACCTGTGGGGCAGAGACATGTTAGCCCCATCATGCCAGTTCAACAGGTTTCTTTGCCTGAAGTCCTCTCAAGGTCTAGCTAACCAATGGGTTCAAGATGAGATGAAGCTGAGGTCTAACGACTGGGATCCTTGACCTGGAGAGAGGGGGAGGGGGGGAGAGAGAGAGAGAGTGTACATGTGCAGTCCTAGGACTTGAACTCTGGCTGGACTTCCTTGGCACAGCTACCACTACAACACTTAGGCACACCTTCTTTTTGCTAGTTAACTGGAGATTGAGTCTCAGACTTTTCTGCCCAGGCCGGCTTCAAACTGTAGTCCCCTAGTCCCCGCACCCTGAGTAGCTAGGATTCCAGGTGCCTGCCTCTGGAGTGCCATGTGGCACCCGTTTAGACTCTGTCCTTACAGAAGGTGTGTCTCAGCCCTGCACAATGGCTGTGGACACCACAAAGGACACAGAGGTGGACAGGAAGAAGCAGTGCTAGCTGCAGCTACAGCAGGGCCACAGCTGGGTCACCGAGGGAGGAGGGAGGAGGGCTTCCCAGGCCCCAAGAAGCGCCTGCTGCTCTTGGTGCCATCTAGGAGCTGGAACCCTCCCTGTACCTCTTCCTGGGCTGTCAGCCCTGGGAAGATGTGATTTCCTCCCATGCCACAGGCTACTGGGCACAGAACGGGAAGGCCTCAGCAGAGGTGGTCCCAGAAAAGCCAGGAGGTTTTAAGCCTCAGCTGGCAAGGAATAGGACAAAAGTATACCTACATATTAAAAACTCTGGGGGCTGGGAATGTGGCTCAGGGGTACAGTGCTTGCCTAGCATGCATGAAGCCCGGGGTCCAATTCCTCAGTACCATATACATAGAAAAAGAAGTGGCACTGTGCCTCAAGTGGTAGAGCGCTTACCTTGAGCTGAAGAGCTCAGGGACAGTGCCCAGGCCCAGAGTTCAAGCCCCACAACTGGCAAAAATTTAAATAAGAATTTAAAAAAATTAAAAGTCTAGCTGGGAATGCAGCGTAGTGTAGGGGTAGAGTGCTCACCTAGCACGCATGAAGCCCAGGGTCCAATTCCTCAGCACCACGTACACAGAAAAAGACAGAAGTAGCGCTGTGGCTCACGTGGCAGAGTGCTAGCCTTGAGCAAAAGCAGCTCAGGGACAGCGCCCAGGCCCTGAGTTGAAGCCCAGGACTGGCAAAAACAAAAAACCTGTCTGGGCACCAGTGGCTCACCTTGGTAACCCTAGCTGAGATGTGAGGATTGTGGTTTGAAGGCAGCCCAGGCAGTAACGTCCATGAGACTCTTATCTCTAATTAGCCACCAAAATGGCACTGTAGCTCAAAATGGCACAGCATTAGCATCGAGCATAAAAGCTCAGGACAGCTGGGTGCCTGCTGGTGGTTCACGCCTGTAATCCTAGCTACTCAGGAGGCTGAGATCTGAGGATCGAGGTTCAAAGCCAGCCAGGGCAGGAAAGTCCATGAGACTCTTATCTCCATAAACCATTCAGAAAACTGGAAGTAGCACTGTGGCTCAAGTGGTAGAACCTAGCCTTCAGCTGAAGAGCTGAGGGACAGCGCCCAGGCCCAGAGTTCAAGCCACACAACCAACAACAACAAAAAACAGCTCAGGACAGTGCCCAGACTGAGTTGAAGCCCCTGAGTTGACCAACAGCAACAACAAAACAACCTGGACCTGTCAGATACTGGCGGCTCACGCCTTTAATCATGGCTACTCAGGAGGCTGAAATCAGGATCAAGATTCAAAGCCAGCCTAGACTGAAAAGTCCATGAGACCCTTATCTCCAATTAACCAGCAAAAAAGCCAGAAGTAGAAGCATTGCTCAAGTGAGTGCTAGCTTTAAGCCAAGAGGGCTGGGAAGGTGGCTCAGTGGTAGAGTGCTTGCCTCACATGCCTGAGGCCATGGGTTCGATTCTCAGCACCACATAAGCAAAAAGAAAAAAGCTGGAAGTGGCGCCTTGGCTCAAGGGCTAGCCTTGAGCTGAAGAGCTGAGGGACAGCGCCCAGGCCGAGTTCAGGCCCCACGACCGGACCCAAAAAATAAAGAGCTCTGTGTTATTCTTGAAAAATATTTCAAAACAGAAAGGGAAGCCAAGCAAGGTGGTGCACAGTTTAACTTCAGCTGCTCTGGTGGCTGAGAGGGAAGAATGCCAAATTCAAGGCCTGTGGAGGCACCTTGGTGAAACTCCGTTTTTAGTGCTCTGGTGTGCCGGCCCTGCCCTCGGTCCATCTGAGCAGCTCCAAGCCCCAAGCCTCTGACTGGCTCTCCCATGCAGCCTGCGCCGCCCGCGGGGTGGTGCGCTTCACCGGCCTGCTCCCAGCTCCCAGCTCCCCTCGGCTCCTCTCATCTGCTCCCCTCTGTTCTGGATGGCTCTGTTTCCAGCCTTGGGGGCAGGGAGCAGATGTAGAAAAACAAAAACGCGGGTAGTACCCTTCCTGCAGCCTGGCCTGGCCTCTAGGTCACTGCTAGGAGGCCCATCCTCCTGCTGGGTCAGGAGCAGCTGAGGTGGGCAAGTGGCCAGGGGCCGGCGTGGCCCCTCCATGTGGGGCAGAGATGGTCACAGAAGCAAACAGAAGACTCTAGAGCCCTTGCCTACTCTCTGGGGCTGTAAAGATCAGAGAACTTGCACGGAAGTGTGCAGTGTTCACTGCCCCGAACCTGTCAATGGGGACATCCATTAGCTCCAACCAAGCCAGCCCAGGAGGCGGGCAGGGTTAAGGACTTGGGGGCTGGAGCTCCCTGGCACCCAGCACCTGCACGCACGCACTACCACTCGAGTTCGCCTGGGTGAGGCTCTGATGAAGAGTCGAGGGCCTGGCCGTCCTGAGCTTTCCCTAAGAAGGTGGCCGGGGCCAGGAAGGCCGTGCTCAGAGCCCAGCGGAGCGGGATCCAGAGGGCCGCACGCCAACCGCGTTCTCTCAGCTGCCAAGAGCTGATGCCCAGAACGCCGCACGCTTGGCGCACACTTGGCGACTGTGGGGACGCTCGGGTTCTGCGTTGGGAGAGGAGTCCGACAGGCCTTTGGCACATAAAGGGGGTGCTGTGCTACTGAGCCCACCCTGTCCGAGACAGCGGCTTCCGCGATGGGGGGGTGAGGGGGCAGAGGGCGTCACCTCCCAGGGCCCGTGCGCTCCCCGCACCCTGTGGCCAACGCGGATGTGGGAAGGAGCAGTGAGGGTGGGCCCCTTCTGAGGGCCCCAGGGCGCAGCACGCAGGCCCTGCACAGCGCAGGACCCCTAGATGGCAGCTACCGTCCCGGGGGAGCCCTGCGGCCCTCCCAGGTCAGCCGAGGGAGAAGCCGCGCCACCTGCCCACCCCAGGCGCTGCCAGCTCAGACTACCTGCCAAAGCGCCCGATGCCATCGACGGCCAGCCGCAGCCTCCTCTTCTCCCGCGCCTCTGCTGTGAAGTAGTAGACGCCAAAGAGCAGAGGCACCCCCACCACGGTAGCAGGGAGCGCCCTCCGCCAGAGCGAGGCGGGTCTCGAGGCCCTGAGGGAGACACGGGGGAGCTGGGGTCTGCCCCGCCCCTCCCCCAGCCCCCAGGGCAGCACGGAGGCCAGGCAGGCTAAGGGGCGGGTCTTCCTGGGCTGTGTGGGGCCCTGGAGCCCCCTCGTGAGAAGGGCTCCTCGGCCAGGCTGGGCTGTCCAGGGGAGAACTCCACACTAGGCACACTCAGAAGCCCCGCCGCTGTGGCCGCCAGGATGGCTGGACTAGAGCTTAAGTCCTTGGTATGGCCAAGGGATACACTGAGGTTGGCACAGACCGAATTAGAGTTGAGAACAGCGCACTGCCAGCGAGCTCAGACAGATCACCGGCATCCCGGGAGCCGCTTCCCCTGGCATGGCCGACCCACAGCAACCCCACCCCTCTGTGCCCCACAAGTCACCCCATTTATTTGGCACAGTGCAGGCTGTTTCTGAACAGCTCCTGCCTTGCCAGTGTCTGCCCTGAGTACGCCTCATGTCCAGGATGCATCCTGTCCTGGAGGCGCAGCAGAGGGCTCAGCTCAGGCAGCCACCTGCTGACTGCAGAGGCCTTCCCTGGGTTCTGGAAGGCCCTTTGCCCAGCTGGAGATGTTTCCAGGCCGGCTGGTCCCCGGACTGGGGGTGAGGAGACCCAATACTCGTAGCTCCTCCCCTGAAGCTCAGCTTGGCCCCAGCAGTGCCCATCCTCCCGCCCCCACGCAGCACAGCGGGGGGGGGGGGCTTCTTACCTTGCAGGGGGGCCCCTGAGGCTTCTCCTGAAGAACGCGGCGGGGCATGGCCAGGGCTTCTGCCTGCTCTGCAGCAGAGCCGAGTGGAAGCGGCACAGTCGCACCTTGAACAGAGCGGACGGCTCCAGCTCAGCGGGGGCAGGAGCGCAGACTCAGGCCTCGGCGCCAGGCAGCCCCTCCGCAGGCCTGGAGCCAAGCTCCGGAACCTGTGCTGCCCTGAACCCCCACCGAGCCCGTCGTCAGCACCGCTGCGTCAGGCAAAGCAGCGAAGAGACCGCGCGCCTAGTGCACCTAGGGCAGGAGGGGCGTGTGGACCTCCTGTGCAACATAGCCTCTCCGGCGGCGTCCTCTCGCTGTCCGCAGAAGAAAGCTAAATTACAACCTGGCTTCCCTGTCAGGACAGGTCTCTCTTTCATCAACACCACGACTGTTCATTTACAATTTCCCAAGTGGCCACAAGTGAGCGGCCCTACTGTCAAAGGAAGCATCAGCTCTCCTCGGAGAGCCGGCCTGTAAGGGGGAGGCCCAGACAGGAGAGCTGTCCTGTGTAGGTCATTGTTCTGAAATCAGAGTACAAAGCTGGCTCACGCCTGTAATCCCTACTACTCAGGAGGCTGAGATCTGAAGATCGTGATTCAAAGCCAGCCCAGGCAGTTAAATCCATGAGACTACTCTCCAATTAAAGAGCAAAAACCCAGAAGTTGCTCAAGTGGTAGAGAGCTAACTTTAAGCAAAAGAGCTTAGGGATGGCACCTAGGCCCTGAGTTCAAGTCTCAGGACCTGCACAAAAGAAAAAGAAGAAAAAAGTACAAGGATTATAATCTACTAAGATCGCAGAGGTGGGATCCCAGAGGGGACCCTTGGGGCCCCCTCCAGGGCAGCCTTGCTCTCCATGGCCTTTCGAGACAAGGGTGTCTCACTCTTGTTCAGGCTGGCCCCAAACTCCAATCATTGTCCCACCTTAGCCTTCCAAGTAGCTGGGACCACACAGATGTGTAGTCCTGCCACTGCAGAAGGCTCCTCTTATCTAAACTGTGAACTGGGCACCAGTGGCTCACACATGTCATCCTAGCTACTCAGGAGGCTGAGATCTGAGGATCACGGTTCAAAGCCAGACCAGGTAGTGACATCCATGAGACTTTTTTTTTTTTTTTTGGTCGTGGGACTTGAACTCTGGGCTTGGCGCTGTCCCTCAGCTCTTCAGCTCAAGGCTAGTGCTCTACCACTTGGGCCACAGCGCCACTTCTGGTTTTCTGATGGTTTGTTGGAGATAAGAGTCTCATGGGCTTTCCTGCCCGGGCTGGCTTTGAACCGTGATCCTCAGACCTCAGCCACCTGAGTAGCTAGGATAACAGGCGTGAGCCTCCAGCACCCTGCTCATGAGACTCTTAAGAAACTACAAGAGGGCTGGGAAGGTGGCTCAGTGGTAGAGCACTTGCCTTGCATGCTCGAGGCCCTGGGTTTAATTCCTCAGCACCACATAAGCAAAAAGAAAAGCCGGAAGTGGCGCTGTGGCTCAAGTGGTAGAGCGCTAGCCTTGAGCTGAAGAGCTGAGGGACAGCGCCCAGGCCCAGAGTTCAGGCCCCACGACTGGAAAAAAAAAAACTACAAGAAAAGCCTGAAGTGGAGCTGTGGCTCAAATGGTAACGTGCTAGCCTTGAGCAAAAGTTCAGGGACAGTTCAAGCCCCGGGACCAGGAAAAAAAAAAAAAGTTTGAATTATTTTAAGAAAAAACCTTTGCATGCCATTTTGCCCTGTGGTACAGATGTGAATGAACATGGCATCAAACAGTCAGCTGATTCTTCATCTCTTTCTGGACAAGGGACCTCGCTCTGCAGAGTCACTGGCAAGGACACAAAACAACGCGAAGGTCTAGGTCCAGGACCTACGTCCAAGGACAGAGCCTGGCTGAACCCAGTGTTCAGCCACACGCTGCAGGCTGGCTTCCAGAACACGAAGAGAGAGCAGTCCCAGGCAGACGAGGACTCCTGGGTGCCATCACCTCTGCACCCTCCTGACCCTGACGCCCTCCAGTGCCAGCACATGCACAGAAGAAACCAAGGCTGAGGCCACTGCGGCCGCAGCTGTGGAGCTGCTCAGGGTGTGTACTGGTACGGTATACGGGGAAGCTGGCTTCAGCTGGGATCTCAGGGAGCCTCAGCCCAGGACTCCTGGTCCTGTTCTCAGTGCCACACTGCCTGTGGCACTTGCCCCAAAGAGCTCTGCCTTCTGAGAAGAGCAGTCTGAGCGGCAGGGCTGGGCAGGACAGCAGGGGAGGGGAGGGGAGTGGAGGGGAGGGGAGTGGAGGGGAGGGGAGGGGAGGGGGGGAGGGGAGGGAGGGGAGGGGGAGGGGAGGGGAGGGGAGGGGAGGGGAGGGGAGGGGAGGGGAGGGGAGGGGAGGAGCTCTGAACTGGGTAGTGGCTGGGACTCCACCAGGATGCGCTGTCCTGAGGCTGAGATTAGGAAAATGAGAGGCCCATGAGGCTGGAAAGCTGCACTGTGCTGAGGACGATGGGAAGTTTACTCTAAAAGAGAAGCTCTCACAGGCAAGCTGGAGCTAGGCTAGATGTTTTGTGGGGTTCATCAGCGGGGAGAAGGTGAGGGGATTCTGGGTAGCAGGCACAGACTGGAAGGGCCCAAGGAGGTAGGGATGTGTCCAGCTTGGGGGGAGGGGGAGAGCCAAGTAGACCCAGGGCAAACTGTGAAGCCAGTGCATGCACAGGACTGCATTCCAGTGAACCCTGCTGCCCGCTTGAGTGGTCTTAAAGTTCTACAACCATTCTAACCCCTCAGCAAGACCACGTGTCAAGGGAGCAAGGGAGCCCCACCCACTGCCTTCAAGGTACTGCAGACATCTTCATGAGCCAGCCAGAGCGGGCCGTTCTCCCGCACACCGCCTGGCCCCTTGGGCAGCCAGAGCGGGCCGTTCTCCCGCACGCCGCCTGGCCCCTTTGGCAGCCAGAGTGGGCCGTTCTCCCGCACGCCGCCTGGCCCCTTTGGCAGCCAGAGTGGACCGTTCTCCCGCACGCCGCCTGGCCCCTTGGGCAGCCAGAGCGGGCCGTTCTCCCGCACGCCGCCTGGCCCCTTGGGCAGCCAGAGCGGGCCGTTCTCCCGCACGCCGCCTGGCCCCTTTGGCAGCCAGAGCGGGCCGTTCTCCCGCACGCCGCCTGGCCCCTTGGGCAGCCAGAGCGGGCCGTTCTCCCGCACGCCGCCTGGCCCCTTTGGCAGCCAGAGCGGGCCGTTCTCCCGCACGCCGCCTGGCCCCTTGGGCAGCCAGAGTGGGCCGTTCTCCCGCACACCGCCTGGCCTCTTGGGCAGCCAGAGTGGGCCGTTCTCCCGCACACCGCCTGGCCCCTTTGGCAGCCAGAGCGGGCCGTTCGTTCTCCCGCACGCCGCCTGGCCCCTTTGGCAGCCAGAGTGGGCCGTTCTCCCGCACACCGCCTGGCCCCTTTGGCAGCCAGAGCGGGCCGTTCGTTCTCCCGCACGCCGCCTGGCCCCTTTGGCAGCCAGTGGGCCGTTCGTTCTCCCGCACGCCGCCTGGCCCCTTTGGCAGCCAGAGTGGGCCGTTCTCCCGCACACCGCCTGGCCCCTTTGGCAGCCAGAGCGGGCCGTTCTCCCGCACGCTGCCTGGCCCCTTGGGCAGCCAGAGCGGGCCGTTCTCCCGCACGCCGCCTGGCCTCTTGGGCAGCCAGTGGGCCGTTCGTTCTCCCGCACGCCGCCTGGCCTCTTGGGCAGCCAGTGGGCCGTTCGTTCTCCCGCACGCCGCCTGGCCTCTTGGGCAGCCAGTGGGCCGTTCGTTCTCCCGCACGCCGCCTGGCCTCTTGGGCAGCCAGTGGGCCGTTCTCCCGCACGCCGCCTGGCCTCTTGGGCAGCCAGTGGGCCGTTCGTTCTCCCGCACGCCGCCTGGCCCCTTGGGCAGCCAGTGGGCCGTTCTCCCGCACGCCGCCTGGCCCCTTGGGCAGCCAGTGGGCCGTTCTCCCGCACGCCGCCTGGCCCCTTTGGCAGCCAGTGGGCCGTTCTCCCGCACGCCGCCTGGCCCCTTTGGCAGCCAGTGGGCCGTTCTCCCGCACACCGCCTGGCCTCTTGGGCAGCCAGTGGGCCGTTCGTTCTCCCGCACGCCGCCTGGCCCCTTGGGCAGCCAGTGGGCCGTTCGTTCTCCCGCACACCGCCTGGCCTCTTGGGCAGCCAGTGGGCCGTTCTCCCGCACACCGCCTGGCCTCTTGGGCAGCCAGTGGGCCGTTCGTTCTCCCACACGCCGCCTGGCCCCTTGGGCAGCCAGTGGGCCGTTCGTTCTCCCGCACACCGCCTGGCCCCTTGGGCAGCCAGTGGGCCGTTCTCCCGCACGCCGCCTGGCCCCTTGGGCAGCCAGTGGGCCGTTCGTTCTCCCGCACGCCGCCTGGCCCCTTGGGCAGCCAGTGTGTGCCGTTCGTTCTCCCGCACACCGCCTGGCCTCTTGGGCAGCCAGTGGGCCGTTCGTTCTCCCGCACGCCGCCTGGCCCCTTGGGCAGCCAGTGGGCCGTTCGTTCTCCCGCACGCCGCCTGGCCCCTTGGGCAGCCAGTGGGCCGTTCGTTCTCCCGCACGCCGCCTGGCCCCTTGGGCAGCCAGTGGGCCGTTCGTTCTCCCGCACGCCGCCTGGCCTCTTGGGCAGCCAGTGGGCCGTTCTCCCGCACGCCGCCTGGCCCCTTGGGCAGCCAGTGGGCCGTTCGTTCTCCCGCACGCCGCCTGGCCCCTTGGGCAGCCAGTGGGCCGTCCGTTCTCCCGCACGCCGCCTGGCCCCTTGGGCAGCCAGAGTGGGCCGTTCTCCCGCACACCGCCTGGCCTCTTGGGCAGCCAGAGTGGGCCGTTCTCCCGCACACCGCCTGGCCCCTTTGGCAGCCAGAGCGGGCCGTTCGTTCTCCCGCACGCCGCCTGGCCCCTTTGGCAGCCAGAGTGGGCCGTTCTCCCGCACACCGCCTGGCCCCTTTGGCAGCCAGAGCGGGCCGTTCGTTCTCCCGCACGCCGCCTGGCCCCTTTGGCAGCCAGTGGGCCGTTCGTTCTCCCGCACGCCGCCTGGCCCCTTTGGCAGCCAGAGTGGGCCGTTCTCCCGCACACCGCCTGGCCCCT